ATGTTTGCTGATCCGTCTGTGCTTTTCACAGCGTGCATACAGATTACAGTTTGTAGCTTGGAAAAAAACCAGAGACACCTCTATTACACAGTTGTCTCCTTCATCCCCCTCCCCCTCTGATGCTTCTCCAGTAACTCAGGCATTTTGGATTTCTTTCAGACTGGAAGACTACCCTTGAGGAGAATAGGTTGAATTCTGAAAAAGATCGAGCTAGGGAAGAACTGTCCCACCACGTGGAAGTGAAACAATGTGTACAGGAGGAGCCACCCTGTTTGGTGTCATTAGGAAAAGTGCACAATCAGAGCAACCAGTTAAGGGAACACCAGGAGAACTCCTTAAGGTTCATGGTACTCACCTCAGAGAGACTGTTTCCTCAAAGAGAACACTGTGAGCCTGAACTTGGGGGAAGTTATTCTCTACCTTCTACTTTAAGCCTTCTACCTATGACATTACCTGCACGTACAGGTTTCCCTAAGCCTAACTCACAGGTTAAAGAGCTTAAACAAAATTCAACTTTCATTAATCATGAGAAAAATGGAGCAGGTGGGAAGCACTGTGAGAATCATCAGCATGCTAGAGCCTTGTGTCAGAGCATTTACTTGAGTAAACTTGGAAACATTGAAACAGGAAAGAAAACCCCTTATGAACATATTGTTGGTCGTGACTCTCTCAACTATGGTTCCTCCCTTTGTTTTCATGGTAAAACTTTTTCAGTGAAGAAAAGTGATGACTGTAAGGATTATGGAAATCTCTTCAGTCACAGTGTGTCTCTGAATGAACAGAAGCCAGCGCATTTTGGAAAAAGTCAGTATGAGTGTGATGAACGCAGAGAAGCCTGTTCTGAGAGTCTGTGCCTTGTACAAACAGAAAGAAGTGACCCTGGAGGGACCCCCTTCAGAGGTGAGGATGGCTGTGCTGCCTTCCCTGTGGCCTCATCTTTTTCTGACTGTAACATCATTCAGACTGCAGAGAAGTCATCTGTGTGTAATCAGTGTGGAAACTCTTTCAGCTGTTGTTGTAAGCGCATATACCAGAGAACACAAACTGGAGAAAAGCCCTTCGAATGTACTCATTGTGGGAAATCTTTTAGTCAGAGCTATGACCTTGTCGTACATCAGAGGACACACACTGGAGAGAAGCCCTATGAGTGCGACCTGTGTGGGAAATCCTTCACCCAGAGATCCAAACTTATTACGCATCAGCGAATTCACACTGGAGAAAAACCGTATCAGTGTGTTGAATGTGGAAAATCCTTCAGGTGGAACTCTAACCTCATTGTACATCAGAGAATTCATACTGGAGAGAAACCGTACGAGTGCACTCACTGTGGAAAGTCCTTCAGCCAAAGCTATGAGTTAGTTACACATACAAGAACCCACACTGGAGAAAAGCCCTTCAGATGTACTCAGTGTGGGAAATCTTTCAGCCAGAAGTATGATCTTGTCGTACATCAGAGGACACACACTGGAGAGAAACCCTATGAGTGCAACCTGTGTGGGAAATCCTTCTCCCAGAGTTCCAAACTTATTACGCATCAGCGAATTCACACTGGAGAAAAACCATATCTGTGTATCGAATGTGGGAAATCCTTCAGGTGGAACTCTAACCTCGTCATCCATCAGAGAATTCATACTGGGGAGAAACCGTACAAGTGCACTCATTGTGGAAAGTCCTTCAGCCAAAGCTATCAATTAGTTGCACATAGAAGAACTCACACTGGAGAAAAGCCCTATGAATGTAACCAGTGTGGAAAAGCCTTCAATCGAAGCACTCAGCTCATCAGGCATCTGCAAATTCACACTGGGGAGAAGCCGTACAAATGCAATCAGTGCGATAAAGCCTTTGCAAGGAGCTCCTACCTTGTGATGCATCAGAGAACTCACACTGGTGAGAAACCTTTTGAGTGCAGTCAGTGTGGGAAAGCCTTTACAGGGAGCTCTAACCTTCTTTCCCATCAGAGAATTCATTCTGGAGAGAAACCCTACGAATGTAGTGACTGTGGGAAATCCTTCCGGCAGCGATCTCAGCTTGTAGTGCATCGGCGGACACATACTGGAGAGAAACCTTAGGAGTGCAGTCATGGTGGGAAAACTTTCAGCCAGAGGTCTCCCCTCATCATGCACCAGAGGACACCTGTCAGTGGGAAGAGCTATCAGTGTGATGTGTATTAAGGCCTTCAGCCAGCAGTAGTGACTCATTAAACATCAGAGAATGCATCCTGGAGGAAAGCCCTATGAATGCATTGATTGTGGGAAAGCCTTCAATGATCGCTCAACCCTTAGTAAACATGAGAGGACGCACACTGGAGAGAAACCCTATGAATGTGACCACTGCGAGCAAGCCTTTAGCCAGCAGTGTCAACTTACCAGGCATTGGAGAGTTCATACTGGAGAGAAGCCCTATGAATGTTAATGTGGAAAAGTTTCCAGTTAGGATACTTCCCTTATTCAACATGAGAAAGCTCATGGGCAAGAAACTCTCTGAATAACCAAGATGGAGCCAGGTGCAGTTGCCAACACCTGTAATCCCAGCACTTTGGGAGGCCAAGGCAGGTGGATTGCTTGAGCCCAGGAGTTTGAGACCAGCCTGGGTAACATGACAAAATCCTGTCTTTACAAAAAATACAAAAATTAGTCTAGCATGGTGGTGCATACCTGTAGCCCTAGCTACTCAGGAGACTGAGGTGGGAGGATCACTTGAGCTTGGGAGGCGGAGGTTGCAGTGAGCTGTGATCATGCCATCACACTGCTGCCTTATGAGAGAGTGAGATACTCTCTAAATAAATAATAACCAAGATAGGAAATTTCCCTGCCATACCCTCTTTACTAGAAATCAAGTGGTTAAAACATGACTCTCAGAGTGGGGCTTCATGACCATGTGCATCAGAATTGCCTGGAGTGTGCACTAAAATTGTATTATGATGCTCACTCTAGCCAACTGAATAAAAATCTCTGGTAGTAGAATCCAGGAGTCTGCAGTTTCTAAAATCACACAGGTGGGTGGGCACAGTGGCTCATGACTGTAATCCCAGTGCTTTGGGAGGCTGAGGTGGGTGGATCACCTGAAGTCAGGAGTTTGAGACCAGTCTGGCAAACATGGCAAAACTGTCTCTATTAAAAATACAGGCCAGGGGCCAGGTGCGGTGGCTCATGCCTGTAATCCCAGCACTTAGTTAGGCAAGGTGGGTGGATCATGAGGTCAGGAGATTCAGACCATCCTGGCTAATATGGTGAAACCCTGTCTCTACTAAAAATACAAAAAAAATTAGCTGGGCATGGTGGTGGGCACCTGTAGTCCCAGGTACTTGGGAGACTGAGGCAGGAGAATGGCGTGAACCCAGGAGGCGGAGCTTGCAGTGAGCCAAGATCACACTAGTGCACTCCAGCCTGGGCGACATAGCGAAACTCTTAAAACAAAAAAAATACAGGCCAGGCGCAATGACTCATGCCTGTAATCACAGAATTTTGGGAGGCAACGGCAGGTGGATCACCTGATGTCAGGAGTTCGAGACTAGCCTCACCAACATGGAGAAACCTCGTCTCCACTAAATATGCAAAAATTAGCTGGGTATGGTGGTGGACACCTATAATCCCAGCTACTCGGGAGGCTGAGGCAGGAGAATCTTAACCCAGGAGGCAGAGGTTGCAGTCAACCAAGATTGAGCCATTGCGCTCCAGCCTGGGCAACAAGAGCGAAACTTCCTCTCAAGAAAAAAAAAAAAAGGACTCTGGTGAGGCATGGTGGTTCATGCCTGTAATCCCAGCAGTTTGGGAGGCTGAGGTGGGCAGATAACTTGAGGACAGGCATTCAAGACTAGCCTAGCCAACATGGCAAAACCCCATCTGTACTAAAAATACAAAAATTAGCCGGGTGTGGTGGCACACGTGTGTAATCCCAGCTATTCGGGAGGCTGAGGCATGAGAATCGCTTGAACCTGGGAGGCAGAGGTTGCAGTTAGCTGAGATCATGCCACTGCACTCTTGCTTGGGCAACAGGGCGAGACTGTCTCAAAAAAAAAAAAAAAAAAAAAGGACTCTGAGCTGGCCGAAATGGCTCATGCCTATAATCCCAGCACTTTGGGAGACCAAGCACTTGAGCCCAGTAGATTGGGACCAATCTGGGCAGCATGTTGAGACCCCATCTCTACAAAAGAAATACAATTAGCTGGGCGTGGTGCTGCACACCTGTAGTCCCAGCACTCTGGAGGCTGAGGCAGGAGTATTACTTGAGCCTGAGGGTGGTGGGGGGTCGCACCGGCAGTGAGCTGAGATCACACCACTGCATTCCAGCCTAGGCACCAGAGCAACACCATATCTCTAAAACAAAACAACAAAATATTGGACTCTGAATATTTCAGGGATTTGGTTGTGTTTAAACTTTGTTGCTCAGTTGGTTGGATTGTAATCAGAACTGGCAGCATATTAATATGGAAAATACTTATCAGGTGATGTGAAAACAGGAGCCCAAATAGTATGTTCACAGAAGGTTACAAGCACATAATTTAAATTGGTCCACTCAGCAACATGTTCCCTAAAAGAAAAAAGCATAAATTGACAGTTGTGGGGAAAGTGGAAGAGGCCATGTCTGCATTCATTCATTCATTTTTTTGAGACGGAATCTCACTGTGCCCCCCAGGCTGGAGTGCAGTGGCCGGATCTCAGCTCACTGCAAGCTCTGCCTCCCGGGTTTACGCCATTCTCCTGCCTCAGCCTCCCGAGTAGCTGGGACTACAGGCGCCCGCCACCTCGCCCGGCTAGTTTTCCGTATTTTTTAGTAGAGACGGGGTTTCACCGTGTTCGCCAGGATGGTCTGGATCTCCTGACCTCGTGATCCGCCCGCCTCGGCCTCCCAAAGTGCTGGGATTACAGGCGTGAGCCACCGCGCCCGGCCAATCTGATGTATTTTGCTCTGTAGCAAGGGCTGCTTTATTCTGGCATTTCAGAACTTTTTACCTGATAGCTGGTTCTTGCCCTCTTCACCCTCAAGCAAAGCATACTCTTAAAGCAGCCCCGCCTGTCTGTGGAGCTTCCTGTCTGCTTTCTCATAGCCTCTTGAATATAGGTGGCAGGCAAGGAGCAAAAGATAAAGTTTCCATCATGAAAGAAGGTATCTAAGACAAAGCAGAAAAGATACATATTCAGAGGAACCAAATATTCTTTGTTTTTTGAGACAGAGTCTTGCTCTGTTGCCCAGGCTGTAGTGCAGTGGAACGATCTCGGCTCACTGCAACCTCCACTTCCCAGGTTCAAGCAATTCTCCTGCCTCAACCTCCCAAGTAGCTGGGATTACAGGCGCCCACCACCATGCCCAGCTATTTTTTGTATTTTCAGTAGAGACAGAGTTTCACCATGTTGACCAGGCTGGTCTCAAACTCCTGACCTCAAGTAATCCGCCCACCTCGGCCTCCCAAAGTGGTGGGATTACAGGCGTGAGGCCTCAGACCTCCCAAAAGTAGGCTGGGATTCCAGGCGCCCACCACCTCACGCCGGCTAATTTTTGTATTTTAAGTAGAACGGGGATTTCACCCATGTTTGACTCAGTGCTATGTCTCGAACTCCTGTACCCACGATCCACCTCCTCGTCTCCCACAAGTGCTGGCTATTACAGAGCATGAGCCACTGCACTCAGCCTTGTACCCCTTTCTTGACTGCACTTTTTAGATATAACAAGATGCTTTAAATATTGGTGATTCTGCCGGGCGCGCAGCGG